CTAACAAGTATGCTATTGTGATGCAATGAGAGAAAACTGACATACAGGCATTACAAAATAAAGAAGCAAAATATCCATAACTCAAGTAAACCAACTTACTAGAGTCAGTCAAGCAGGAAGTCCACCAGTCAGATTGAAGTCACTGAACTAATAATGCAACCATTGCAATCCTTAGCCAACCATTAAAACAATAAGCAAAAAATCACGTGCCAAATATCTGCACATAATTGATAGATATATTGATATAGATCCTGTTTTGTTTGAATGCTTTCCCCCTTCTTTTAAGCACCCATCTATGTTCATGTATTTCAGTTGACACTTGATATACATTGGGCATATGAACGCTTCACAATAAGTGTTTCTCCTTTATTGTACATCAGTTATTTTATAACGGCAGTCTAATACAAGTGCAAAGCAGACACCATTTATAAAAGTCCTCTAGTGTCCTGACTTTAATGTTGATGGGAAGCTCCAACATCCATGATTTGCGTTCACGTGCTACAGCAGTAAATCATGTTGTAAATCAAAGCCAGAAGACAGACAAGAAAAAGGCTGAGGAACGGATCAGTGCATTTAGCAGCTTTAAGCTAGGTTCAAAACACAGACGTTAAAATGGGTTAGTTTTATAAAAAAATTAGCCCCTTTAAAGTTTTCGTGAAGCGGTAAATAATCAACAGACTAGCTGTCACCATGTTTATTTCTGCTTTTGGGCATTTTAACACTGAGGTCGGTGTGGAACTACAGCTTCTGTGTCAGTCTGTGATGTCATTGGGCCCAAAAATAACTTGATCAACTTCCCAGTATGGACATTAACAGCCCTTATCTAAATGGTTAGGATCTTGAAGTTGTAAAAGCCGAATTCAGAGTTTATTTCATTTGGAGGCGGGGCTTAAGCAAACTGCAAGTATTCGCAATGGGCTTTATAGATACAGGTACTTTTTCCCTCAAGACTCAGGCTATTTTGTCTTCATGCGCCACTGAGCCACTTCTATAAGATTGAACGGACTCCCGCCTCCAACGCTGTATCCAGTTCTCTTTATACATCCATGAGATGCTCCCATTTGTAGTCTTTGCAGCGAGTCAAGTGGCTATTATTGGAACTGCAGCTTTTGGTACTTGTGCTCGGGCTCAGCCGAAGTTTGTCGCACGGTTCGAAGGAAAGGATGTCAGTTATTGTAATATATGAAAATGCTAGATAGTTGTTGAACAGAAATCCTTTCAAATTGCACCAAAATCCCAGACCATTGATAGGATACAAAAGGTGATTTTAATAACACAACTTTAAATATTACGTCTTTACTTTTCTGTTTAGGTTTGGAAACTTTTGATGCTGCCTTCAGACACATCTGTTGCAGAGAGTTTCACATATTTCATCTCAGCCTTGATTCTCCTTCTGGCGGCTTTGTTTTCACAGTGGAAACATTGAGTCAGCCCGTTCCAAAAAGCTCATGTGATTTTGTTTGGTCACCACAACTTACTATGCTGCTGCAAAAATAACTCAACACACACATGCGCACAAGCAGACACACACAGAGCAACAGCTGTCATCATTACTCTCTGCCGAATGTCCACTCTAAAACTCTGCCCGTTTAGTTTTCTAACTGCAATGTGAGCTTCATGTTTTAATGTACAACAAGGTGCTTAATGCATATGCTCTTATAATGTATAATGTCTGAATCTGAAACAACTCAAGGTTTTTAATCCAAAGTCTGGCTGACTAACATCGCTCCAAGTCCATGCATGTCCATATGACTTATGTCACCAATGTTTAAGAGATTCTTAAGAGTGTGACTCAGGGTTTTAAACTTATCTGTGTGTGTGTGTGTGTGTGTGTGTGTGTGTGTGTGTGTGTGTGTGTGTGTGTGTGTGTGTGTGTGTGTCTGGCCTTAACTGTTGCACACTGACCACATGTTGTCAGTAAAGTAGAGCTTAGAAGCTGCTCTTTGGTAATATGTGTGCTATATAGAGTCATCAGAAAGCCCCGAAAATATAAGAAAAATAAAACAAGACAAGCATTCAACAGAACAATCCTTCAGCTACAGCAATGTAGCACAAATCAGTGTTTAGTTATGCATTCCTGATAGAAACAGCAATGCACTCTTGGTTGAATAAGAAATGCTGTGTTTCTCCCGCTCTTTGACTTGAACACACACAAAGAAAAACAGCAGCAGCCTGTCCCTCTCAGTTATTTCTGTCTTCAGAACAAAGGGTTTTTTACCTCCTACTGAAAGATGACAGTGTGTGTTGGTGTTTTTTCGAGTGTGTGTATGTGTGTGTAGTTTGAGCGAGTTTAAGTGTGTCAGTGTTTTAATGTGTGTGTGTTTTGGCAAGATAATTAGACCTTGTGCTTTGCTCCCTGAGAGCTCCGTAACCACAGGGCTGAACCATAATGAATCCACAGTCACGGACACTAGGCTAACTAACACACACACACACACACATGGTTACAGATGTTTGAAAACAAACACAAACACATATTCACGCACACATTGTGTCAATGTTTAACTGAGAGAGTATGGGGGGGAGGCTGGATTAAATGAGGGCAAAGGAGAGAGCAGCAGAAAACAAATAATTACATATGATACGGCTGATGACACATCGCTGAACATGTTTTCCAGACAAATAATCAATCATCTCAATGTGCTTTCTATGTGAAACTATTTTAAGAAGCTTTGCTCATTTCTGAGACACCTGTGTGTTTGTGAGTGTGTTCTCAGATGATATGAGTCACATTAAAACCTTTACTACAGGCTGAGGATATTCAGCCCTGCTTATCGTACGATGCCTTCAGGCAATGAAACTGAATAAAGCTCTTTCGACAGAAGAGTGAACACACAGTGCAAATTAGTCAACAGTTATGTGTGATTCATTGGTCATACTGTAAGACACTTGTACAATGCATTACAAATAAACCTGGTGATATATTCATGGATGTATATTCAAGTGTATCTCTTATTTTCGTTCTTTGATTAATTTAACAATAATGATTCATTCAGGTGTAGCATTCACGTTGCTGTCCAGTGCTTTATGTTTTTGATGATGGCTAAGAGTCCATGTTGCTCCATGATAGTTGAAAGCTAAGGGATGACTTAAGTTGTAATAAATCATCCTGATGGGAGCAGGAACATCTGTACAGAATGTCATGGTAAATCATCCATGTGTGAAGTTCACGGCAGTGCTGTGAACTTGTTGGAATTTCCTTTTGTCCAATTTTATTTGTGATGTTGAAAATATAATCCCTCCAATGTGTTAGCACACTCAGTTTAATCTCTGTCTATTCCTCTTGGGACCATGACCGTCATTTTGTGTATGTTTTGGAATGTGTTCTTTTCTTCAGTTATATTGATCCATGTCTCTTGCAGACCTCACACAGGACTGAATTAATCCTACTCAGATACATTTGTTTGGGGTTGTGGCGCTCAAACATCCACACCAGCTGCCTGAATTACCGCAAATGTAACGCTGGATCTGGATGTGATTCACCGTCACGCCTGGCCTTGCCTGGTGAAAAAAGTGAAGTTCATGGAGTTCATGAAGTTCATTTGCCAAAAACCTCCTTTAAAGAAAATGTAATCCCACCAATGTGTCCTGAATGACCCAGATCTCCAATGACGGTACAGAAAAGCTCAAAGCCTGGAGGTTATTGTCTAAAGGAAACATGGTTCACTGAGAACTACACCTACACACACTAGTCTGTGTTGAGTATGGTGTGAGTGTGATGGGGACTGTCCACGACACTATAAATAAATAAAGTAAAGTAAGGATGTGAAGTGGTGAATTTAACTGAATGTCTGGTGGTGGGAATGAACCCTGTAGTTTAGCCGTGTTTGAAAAAGACACAAGACCGTTTACTGATGCGTACGGAGAGCAGGCTTTAAAGCAAACCCCTATAAAAAGGAGATTTCTCATTCTCAAGTTCTTAAGGATGCAAAAGATCTGAGGATAAAACATGTAGCCTCACCTGTCATACTCCAATGTACCGGAAAAACAACTAAAGAAAAACTAAATAGTAATAATAATAAAATGTCTCCACTGATCTGTGTTGTAAATGTGATTTCTGTATGATTCCAATCGCTTTTTATAGTCAAAATCAGCAAATTTGCCGAGCTCCGCTACAACTACATGGGAGCGATGAGAAGTGAGGCAGGGACGAGCTCTGCCTCACGTAAACCCACAGTAACTGGCTGGAGCGCGGGCACTAATTTAACGCGGGCACTTATTTTGTGAGCGCGCTCAAGCCAGTTACTGTGTGGTGAGGTGAGGCACAGATGAGCTCTGCCTCACCTCAGAATGCGTCACCCCACAGAAACTGGCTGGAAAGCGGGCCCTAAGCGCATGCCTGCACCATCTCACTGTATGTCACCAATGTAATGTTTGTTGATCCCTTTATTACATTTATCCTCGCCATCCATAGTCTCTAAATAACTTATTTAACGTATATGATATTTAGGCTCGCTGGTTTCATCATACAACGGCAATGAAAAAAGCACCAGGGGAGGCAGCCACAACCTCTGCCGCACTGAAGGGGGCGCAAGTGAGCCCACAGGTTCTTGTTGCTACTGTTATTCTACGTAGAGACGGTAGACGCAAACAACAAACTAGACTTTTGAAACTAGAGGAAGATAAGGAGGACTTTTACAAAAAAGTAATGGAGATTGTTGTCCAGAAGGGATGCATGGACGCATGGACTTCATCTTCAAGTCAAGGTAAGACCACAATTGTAATGAACATGGGATCTTACTAAGAAAGAACAATCCAATATTTAGATGTTGGGTATCCTTTTGTTGAATGGTCTGTTTAAAATGAATCGAAGCATCAGAATAAAAAAGCTTTTGAAAATAATCGAATATTTCGATTAAGGTAAAAAATATAATATTTGTAAATTTGACTCTGAAAGAGTCAGTGCCTCACCAGCCATGAACCTCACCGCACGTCACTGCCTCTAACAAGGCATTAGGTGCATACTTGCCAACAGCAGAAAAGATGACAAGCAAACTTACTGCAATCATATGTTCAGTGTTGGTATTTTTTTCTTCTTGCCAATTCAGACCGATCCACCTTCCTGTACCGTGGCTCTTGTACACTGTTGGCTACGGGAGAAAATAAACAACCCCAATTATGCTAGCAGCCTCTTGCCAGCTGGGAAGTGAAAGGTGGATATTTACAATTTCTCCCACGATCTCACCCCTGCAGCTATAACCATAGATGGAATAAGACAAATACAGGATACCTCACTGGCTTTCCACCAGTGAACACAGCCTTATTCAACCACAACGAGGAATTAAACCTGTATCTCTGACGTGTTATTCAAGTGCTTTGCCCTTATTTCTGTGGTTATTATGTGCATTTACCGTCATATTTTGGTTGTTCACTAACAGCTCTGTCCTTATACTGATGAATATTTGATTGATGTTTGTGAAACCTGAAAAACGTCTTATGATGCAGTGGTTATGAAATCAAGTGTAACCATGCACGACAACAGGGAACAAACCTCCATGTTCCTCTTTCATCTGCCTCCTCATTGTTCTGCAGCGTGAACAAACATACACGCTGACACATTCTGGATTATTCCATGCCCAGGTTCACAGATGGCTTACCACTAAGACACAAACAAACACACACACTTCTCTTCCTCTCTTTACTAAATGTTAAACCACATTTCCTCTGCAGCCCGACTCACAGCTGTTAGAGCAAACTATGACTCTTGGCAAATACTTAGAGTTATTCCGCTGTCAGACATTAAACTCCTGATTTTCCCAGACGTATGTGTCTTAACTTGGTGAAATGTTCAAGGTGCACGATGACTGTATATGTGATTATCCAGAAGGCAGGTAAATGCAGTGATTGATCAAAACCAAATCCTGAAAGATGGATGAGTAGCCCAGCTGTGTTAATGAGGGGGTTTGAGAGCAATGTGTTGACTGCTGGAACCACAAGTGCTCTCAAATAATAGCGCTTAAGGGGTTTCATGGCTTTTTGGTTAAGGATGTGTGTGGGTTGGGGGGTGGAGAAGCATGATGGCAGAAAAGATCAACCGTTTCCCTGTTGGATGCTCATTAACACCCAGAAGGTTAAACACAGGGGAGAACACATTTGAGTAATTAGTCTGCCTCGCTAGCTTTATCACAGCTAATCTTTTGACACTCTGCCCCTCCATGTGAGGTCGGCCCAGACCCTTGGGGTTTTTAAATCTACTCTTAAGACACACTTCTTCTCCCTGGCCTTCTAGTCAGAGCGGAGCACGACCCCTGACTTCTCCCTGTGTTTTTTATATATTTGCTGTAATTTATTGTCTTTTATTGTGATTGTAGTAATGTGTTTTTGTTACATGTACAGCACTTTGGCTCGACCAAAAATAAAACTTGATTTGATACTAAGCGAGCAATTTAAAGAGGACCGATTCTCCTCATTTTCAGGTTCATATCTGTATTTGTTGCCTCTACTGCGACATGTTATAATTAGGGCCGGGACTCGATTAAAAAAAGTAATCTAATTAATTAGAGGCTTTGTAATTAATTAATCGAAATTAATCGCATTTTTAATCACATGTAAATATTTGACCTGAGAACAGTGAGAAGCAATTTTTTTTCACATGGATTTTAGTATACCATTAGGCGCATTCACACCGCAGTACTTTTCCCACAAAGGTTCATGAGAACTTAGTTCATGAGAACTCTTTGAACCTGGGGGTGGATTAGGCAAATTACGCCGCTGACGTCACTTCTTCTTCTTCTGCTTTGGGTTTACTGGCAGGCCGCAAACCACTTCACGGCGTATACTGCCGCCCAAAGTCCCCGGCCGGAAGTCCCCGGAGTTAGGGACTGGCTTCAGTAGAAGCTGCTGGGACTCCCAGCAGCTTCTACTGAAGCCTTCCGAGTAAATCGCCAGAACGCCGACACCTCCTCATCTCCACCGCTCCCATGTTTTATTTTGTGTTGCCATAAGTTAGTCTCTCTGCGTTTCTGCGCTGGGCTAATGCTAATGATAATAATGCTAATGCGAGGATAATAAAATGGCGGCTTCACAACACTTTTTGGGAGTTTTACGGGGCGTGGTTTGCAATCCGCCCAGCCAATCAGACATATAGCTCTTTTCTCACAAGAGAGCCGTACGAAAGTCCCTGCTCTCTAGCAGCTCTCTGCTCTCTAGCAGGGACTTTCGTGGGGGTAAAAAGGTTCTCATGAACTAATTTTAGTACCTGCTCTTTTTGGTGTGAACGCGATAAAGAGGCTAACGTCCACGCTAGCTTCCACGCTAGCTGCTATATGTTTTGCATTGAGGTGATACTTGAGGCTTGATGTGCTGCGGTGATATGCGAATTCCTTTTTGCATAATTTGCACACAACCGTGCTCTTATCGACGCTTCCATCCGTCCGTTTTTTAAAACAACATTTCCCACTGTTGTTCACTGTGGTTTATTGTTGTCTGAAGTCATGAACGTTAGTTGGTGCTCCAGTATAATCGGTACGCCTGAAACTCATCCAGTGAGAAACGTTCCACGGTGCAAAAATAAGTGCGATTAAAATGCGTTAATTTTTTTAACGCGTTAATTTTTGTGTAATTAATTAATCTTAATTAACGCGTTAAAGTCCCGGCCCTAGTTATAATGTTCAAAAAGGTCTTTATTCCTCTCATACTGGCTGTGCTGCAGCCCCTCTTTTCACCCTCTGTCTCAAACCAGAGCCCAGTTTGCTCTGATTGGTCAACCGCTTAGAGATATCCCGCCACTTAGCCTCACGTGCAATGTGTTCGAGTGCTAGCCAATAGAAGCGGGAGTGTTACATAGTGATGTCATTATGTTCCGAAAGTAAACAAAGGAGTTCAATGGAGGCGTTTCAGATGGGGAAAGAGTGTGGGAGAGAAACTCCCTGGGATTTTAGCCTTTGCAGACCATTCACATGCACACTAAATAACACACTACAGGAAAGAGGAAACCCAAAAAAGCAGAATAGAGCCTTTAAGCTCGACACTAGGATGTAACAGTCCCGTCATGCCTGTCCTTCAGTTATATTTTTAATCCATTTATCTGATGGGATTCAAGTTACCCATGTTTTTTTCACTCTTCCTCTCTGGCTTCCTAAAGCTCCATTTATCCCTTTGATAGTGGAGTACATAAAACTGTGATGATGCAACATGCAGAAATGTTGCCAGGGAAACAGAAGCCATGAGGAAATTAACTCTTATTGCAGCCACGCAACTTTACAACACAACCCGTCTGCCTGCCTTTCAGAGGATTTATATTCTCTGCAATAATGTAATTAACTCTTCAGTGACGCAATAGTCAGACTACAGCTACTTTCATTTTTATAGCAAAACCACAGCTGATCAATTAAGTTTACTCATCCCTCTTTTAAAATACTGCATAGTCATGTAATTTCCTAAATCTGCAAAATGGTAAGTTTCAATAAAGAGCCAATAAAGATAGTGGAAACAATTAAAATGCCTCCCAGGTGAAAGTAGTATAACTGTTTTTCTTCTGTGGTATTGGTATGCTGTGTGTGAGTGTGTGTGTGTGTGTGTGTGTGTGTGTGTGTGTGTGTGTGTGTGTGTGTGTGTGTGTGTGTGTGTGTGTGTGTGTGTGTGTGTGTGTGTGTGTGTGTGTGTTAAGTTTAGGTCTTATAACAGTGTCATCTTATGATTATTAATAATGTAAAAAAAACATTGAACATAAGCAGACAATTGAAGGTTCCTACGTGTTAACAACCACACAAGATGTTTACATGTGGTCCATCTCTTCACTTATAAAAGGTGATATGAATCCAGACTCTTACACACTTAAAAAAAGAAAAGAAATCCAGCCACATTTACATCCATATTTTGCTGCAAGTATAGACTCGCAAAGTGATTTGTATTTCCAGTGTAATTAATTCAACACAACAATAACATTATCCCTTTTACAAGTGCGTCCAATATTCACAAGATTGATAAATGCTAAGTAAGAACCTGCATTCACAAACACTTCCACTACATCAGTTCCTCTGACAGCCAGCTGAGAAATAACTGAGGCTGAACATACAGGCTCCACTTTTATAATGTGAGCAGTCAGTGAGTCCCTCTGGGTTTCACCATATTTAAAAAACCCAAGTGGTACCACTAACTTTTGTTTTTGTTTCTTCAGCACAGCGGGAAAGTGTTTGAAGGCGGCGAATTGAGCTGCTTTTCCCCGCTCTGCGCTCAACAAGTCGGTTTTTTGTCATTTGTGTTCTTTAATTTAGTGTTTTCTGTGGTAGATAGATCGTCTGCAGCTTCAGGCGGACTTCTCGGTTATTTTCTGATCAAAATCATTTTGTTCTTCTCACCCAGGGCGCAGTGGGAATAGGCTCCCTCAGATCTCCCATGGCGACCTTGTAGGAGTATTTTTGACCCCCAGCATTTTTTTTTTGAGCCCTTCTGAGAATCTCGCATACCACATTCAAACAGAAAACCATGGATAAACAGCCTGTGATTTGATAAACAAACGGTTATCAATTGGGGCCAATAATATTATTGACTGTTGTTAGATGGGGACAGAAATCCAGCACCAGACACCTTTTTACGCTGCTATGGACAATCTTGCACTAATGTACATTCCCAAAGATATTGAAGTGACTGTTATTTTGTATATATTTATTGTTGTGTTTTTTTATCTTAAAGGTGGGGTAGGTAAGTTTGAGAAACCGGCTCGAGATACACTTTTTGTTATATTCCATGGAATGCTCTTAACATCCCGATAGCAATGAATATATTAAGTGCTTTGACAACAAATCCATAAAAAAACGTCATCTGTGGAAGCCGTGGCGCTGTAAAAAGCACGACCAATCATCTGAGCCGGCCCGGCTAAAGTAACTGGATGGCCTACCTGCTTGTCAGCCTTCCATCTGTGCACAAATGTATCTCGTGCCCTCATTGGTCATGTGCGCGTTGGTGTGTGTTGGAGGAGGGGCTCTGTAAGGAAGTGGGAGATTTTTTCCAGCTGTGTATTTTCAAAATCTAGCGCACTCTAGCTGGTTTCTCATGTATAAATGTGTCTGTTGATTGTGTATATATAGGATATACATATTTTATACATATTTTTATCTATGGGATTGTGGGAAATGGTATTTCGATCTCTCTGTCTGCACACACAAACTGAAAGATTGACAATAAAGTTGACTTGACTTAAATCACTAAACGGAAAGTGTATACACACACACACACACACACACACACACACACACACACTAACCCTGAGCAGTAGATCTCTGTTGTATTCGTCTCCAATGCGTCGGAGCTCTCGTCCGAATTCCTCCCTCTGCATGTCCCTTGCTGCGTTTCGTTGCTGCGTGCTAGAGGGGCTGAGAGATCGTCCTGTAACAGAGAGGGGAAAACATGCCCACCTTAGAATTAAGATCACACATGCATGTATTATATGTTTCATTTGTATTAGCGATGCTGCTTTTGTTTAGGCTTATGCAAGTTAGGGTTATCGACTTTTGATTCATAGTTTGAAGATGCAGTCTGCATAAAAAGATAGACATAAAGACACAAGTATATTTGGTGACCTTTAGAAGCGTTTTTTTTTCTTTCTTATCCAATTTTCTACTGCACTCCACTCATCCTGTTAATGGTATTGATGTTCCTACTGTAGTGGAAGCTGCGTCATTGTTGGACAGAAAGCTGCATTACACACACACACACACACACACACTATGTATGTACGGATCACTAGCATCCCATTATTTAAAGAGTGCACCTCACGCATTATGACAAAGATGTGCAGCTGACTGGAACATTACACGTTTATGTACACATGTGTGTTTCTGTGGCTAATCTGATATTTTCAGTCAATACTAAATCAGTATGAACAGTCTGAAAGCCCTGACCTCTTATCGAGCTTCACTTATGACTCACTAAGGGTTATGAAACCCATGCTTATTATTTCTCACATCCTCCAATATTTATGAGAACTAAACAGCAATGTAATCATCAGTTCACCAGAGCACTGACTGCACCCCCCAGTGAGATGCGATGGAAACTATAGGCACAGATGTGGAAATACAGGAAGTGTTTTCTGTAAAATATTAGAAAAGAGAACCAAAAGGTAAACTATGTCAAGTGATGTTGTTGATAACAGTAGAAATGAAAGAATTAAAACACAGATAAGCATCTTTTTCGCTTGATGTGGAGTTCATTTTCAGCTATCTCTCAAAAAACAGTCTCATAAAGTTATTTAAATGGCTTACAATTTTGGGGCAAGCAATAAAAAGCAAATAATTTAGAAAACAGTCTTATCTTATTCTCCTTAAGACATGGAGACAAGCACTTATTAGCCAGCTTTGTTCTAAGTTATGTCGAAGCCTCAAGCTAAATCTATCTTTGTACAACTAGCCTCTAGGTTGTGTTATAATCAAACAGTGTTTATATAAATCATAAAAGCCTCAAAAGGGACTGTTCCACTGGCGTTGTCTGGAGAACCTGCTGCACGAGGAGGAAGTGTTGTGATGGGATGGCTGTAAGGAACAACAAGATGATACACTGATCCCCTTTAGGCTTTTATCTCTCATTCACACAAACAGGCGAGCTTTCCTGATAACTCAAACTTTCAAAGGACAATACTTCTGTGCATGTGTGTGTGTGTGTGTGTGTGTGTGTGTGTGTGTGTGTGTGTGTGTGTGTGTGTGTGTGTGTGTGTGTGTGTGTGTGTGTGTGTGTGTGTGTGTGTGTGTGTGTGTGTGTGTGTATCTCCTGTGCTATCTGATGGACGTAGCAGATTGAATGAGAGGCGAAGGGTTTCAGTCTGCATCTGACAAAAGGCCTGCAAGCCTATTTTGACTGCTACACACACAGGACTATTTTGATTGCATACTTAATGAATAACACACACACACACACTGTTCTGTTTTGACTGGTATCTTGTCTGGCTGGCTGCAGCGAGAGAATAAAGGAGACACAAGGCAATCAGTGAAGCTAATCACTGCTATTATAAAGAGAGGTTACAATAAGGAAGTTGTATTTTAGCATCCGGAGATAACTTTTGAACTTGAAAAACACCATTTATCCTACAAATGCAGATGTGGTTGAAGCTTGGGTTTTAATAGGGGGGGGGGTGGAAATTACAAAGTCACGCAATTCTAACATGCAGTATGCAGTATGTGAGTTTCTGCATTTTAAGTAAAAATTACGAGGAGAATCTGGAGGAAAAAAATGAAAAGTTCCCCATGACCATGATATTAATAAACACTAGTGAATATATTTGTCACCCGCTGCACTAGCACTGCTAGGGGATTCACACAGCTGTTTCTTTTGTTGTGCCAAATCTCAGCCTCATGTCACAGCTTTGTTTGTTTCGAAGTAACAGGATGGGCAACTTTAGCCGACAGCATTATAGCTCTAAGCATGCGTGTCTTCTTCTGTTTACTCGTCCGAAAAAACAGCAGGCATAAAAACAGGGTCAGGGCAGTGAGAAGTGATTAATGTCTAATAAACACTTTGGTGGCTCCATCAGTACGAGCTGAAAACCACAGAGCCTCAACACACAACTCCTGGAAATGCAAAAGCTTCAACTAATACTTTCATTGCCTCTAGTTAGACTCCTTAAAAAGGGAAGTGCACCGATTTAACGCATGAAAGTGTGTCTTGGAGAGTACTACTGCGTATGTGAAAAATATTTATGAAGCCGAACTGTGACAATTGCCTAAGGTGAAGTCCATTGAGTTAGTTTGAAAAAGGAAAAAAACTCAGAGGTGTGGAGTTAGAAACAAGTGATCTTACACACTTATGTAGCACACTGCTTGAGGCTAGCGGCTCGAGGCTACATTAGCAACTAGCATAACACATACAAATCTTCAACCAAACCGGCAGAAGGTTGTTTTGCATTTTGGGTAATGTAGGCTATTGGTTTTGGCAAGGACAAAACATAACAAGTGTGGTTTTACTGCAACCAGTTGTATACCTTTTTGAGTCCAACTATGTTTTGGAGGTGCTATGAAATATGTATACGGCTATACGCTTAAATAACTTTTACTTAACCCTTAAATCTTGTACATCATCTTCAAATGCGGCAAATACTTTATAATCTTGAGAGAAATTACTATTTAATAGTTGTGTGTAATAAAATATTGGACTACATTAAGTAAATGTTGCTTTGATGTGCGCACAGACAAATGTACGTTCTTTATGAGAACTTTAACATGGCATTTTATTGCAACTAATCAAAACGCTAACAATAGATATTTCTGATAAACATTTTGTGGGGCAGTACTGAACATGTTAAAGTTTGTTTGCCCCTCAGATTCGCTGAATCGTCGCTGCCACATTCGTATTACTTTGATAGTGCCTCCACACACACACACACACACACACACACACACACACACACACACACACACACACACACACACACACACACACACACACACACACACACACACACACACACACATACCATGTATACATCACTTCAGGGGACATTACATTGACTTACATGCATTTCCTGGAGACTTATCCTAACCTTAACCATAACCAACACATGCCTAACCCTAACCCTTACCCTTAACCTTACCCTAACCCTAATCCTAAACCTAACCAAGTCTTCACCCTAAAATTAATGATTCCCCTTATGGGGACCTCCAATTTGTCTCCATAAGGGAAGCCAGTCCCCACACGTGACTATGTAAACAGATTTAGGTCCCCACAAGTATAGTAATGCTAGACCACACACACACACACACACACACACACACACACACACACACACACACACACACTCACCCCCCTCCCCCACACACACACCCAAACACAACATTGGGCGTAGCCAGAAGTCAAGACCCTTTTCCTTCCTGTAAATCTGACTCAGCAGGATTCAATGAAAACGGTGAATCCAAGGCAGCAGTCCAACGTCAACAGGTCTAACAAACTCATTCACAAAACTCACCCGTGCAAAACAAACAAAAAGTACAATTGTCCTTACACAGTATACAAAGTGTCATTATGTGTTAGTTTGAGATGAAAATAATCACTTGACTAAGGGGTTCATTCAAGATTAGGACTTAAATGGTGATTTAAGTGAATGTCCACTGTTAATAGTTAGTTAATGTCTTTATTCCTTTCAAATTTTGATATAGTGGCGATCACGTTTGTGCAAATACATTACATTGCTGTTAGATTTCGATTGTATCCGCAGGGCTTTGGAAGGATTTTACACACTCGTAAAAAGGCAGCAGAAATTATCAACAGAAGAGGATTATTACGATGGAACAAAAACACAGGACATTTGGCAGCACTGAGGAGTCATAGTAGTGTGTTTTTGATCTGCATGTTTCAGCCTGAATATCTTTGGATTTCCCTCTGAGAGCAAATTCCATCTGAGTGATTTACACATGTGTGAGTAAAACAATATTTTGGAAAGATGCATGAGTAAGTTATAGTAGGAGGAAAAGGGGAGTGCAACAACCTCAAGTTTGTGTTCATCTTCTTTCATTGTTAACATACACCACCCGCCCTAACCCTCAACTGTTTGATAAAGGAAGCTTCAGGGAGTTTGTGCCGGGCTCTGGTTTCATATTTTGCAGCAAACCCACACAGCAGCTATTTCACAGAGAAAACAGTGAAAAGCTAACTGGCTGATTCAGGTCAATCATTTTCACACATTACAGGTTCAGTTTTTTCAAAAGGGCGGGACACCTACACTTACTTTAAACACTTCAATTTGAAGGAATGCATGCTTCTTAAATCTGATAAACTAGATTACAAAATTAGTAGTGGTTTAGCATTATGATTACAAGTCATTGTTGCTTTTTGAGGAAAGTCACTGACTGGAAGGATAGCAGCAAAACGACAGAGAAACGTGCTCAAAAGTGAAAACGTGTGCACAGTAATGTAAAATACATGCTTTTGTGACATTAAATCCCTTTCCAGATAACTCTAAATCCTGCTTGGATTCAGTGTTTGGCAGCTGATCGTCGGTAATATATGCAAAGTGACTTTGTATCCTCACCGTGCTGCACGCGTGTCCCGGGTCCACCCCCGTGCGCCTCAGCCACGCTCTGCAGGGCGTGTTTCAGCACCTGTCCGGTGGGGCTCGGAGTCTGCGTGGCTCGGTCAGCCGTCACTGGGGAGAGCGGGGAGCCCGGCAGCGAGTCTCCCTCTAAGGAGAAATATCCACTGGATGTGCGGCGTTTGAAGTTGAATATCGATCTCTTCAGAAACACGTCGAGGCTGTCCGCAGCTGGGGAGCCGGCTCTGGTTCTGCACACGGAGGGTGAGGCCGGCTCTACTCCTCCGGGGGAACAGGAGGTTTGCGCTGAGGCTCCAGCGGCTCCCACGGGTAGTGGATCTGCTCCCTGTGGTGCAGTTACTGCTGTGGAGCCATCGGGGAGATTTGGTGGTCTGTTGGATGGTCAGAGCAGCACCGTCAGTGTGGGCTTTCATCACTCTGTCTAAACAGCCTCGCGTCTGACACAACAACTGGATGTGAAGCTGCAAACTACGTACTGTTTCCGAACTATAAACCGGATTATTTCACAGGGATCGTGATGAGTGCTGCGCCAATGAGGACGTGCCAACACAAAATATGTTCAACATGTTGACTTATTTTATATTCTAGCACATGTGCCCCTGCAGCGGATGTCCACAGAAACATTCAGAGTTGTGCAGTTAGTATTTGACAGGTTCACGTGCAGTGAGTGTGTTCCTGATGGCTAAAGTGTCCGCCCGGTGCGTCTCCATTGTTTAAAGAAGATGCTGATGCAGCAAATACTTATTTGACTGTATGTCTATGTGTGTGCTCGGGGGGTGGTGTCATAAAGGAAGTGTCTGGAGTCAATTGAACTGCGTCACATATAACAGCCTGCAAGAAATCCATCCCCGACCAGTCAGTCTGGGAATGTTATTTTAAGCAGCGTATTGTCTGATCGCACAGTTCTGGTTTTATTCAGGATTCCTTAGATTTCAAAAGTGTGGAATTATTAAGATCTTACTTTTGGTGTTAACACATACTGCTTTGCATTGGGTACAACATTTTACGCCGTTGTTATTTTCAGGTTTAATCGCCAAATATTGCCATTCTGATTAAAACGCCTCATCAAAAATATTTTTGACGCAGCGCTTCCTGTTGTCCAGACTGAACAGCAGCGTCCTAAACGCAGGGATTCCCAGCAGCACTGACCTACTTCTGTGCCAAATAACCAAAAATGATAAAAGACAGTTTTATGTTTACGCACAAGTCGTTATATACCGACACAGACTTTTACGCACCGTAGATGAAAAAAGTCGTCCTTTTGCCTTTTACGCATTATTACGCACGGAGAAACAGCCTCCACACGCGGGCTTTAAGTGGGCGCCAAGTCTGTCCTGCAGCCATATGAGAATGTCAACTTTCGCTGTGGGTTTCGGTGCAGATCCGACCCAAGTTCAGATGGGAGATATCAAGCGTGGCAGGCAGCACGTAGATAATGGCACCCATACCGGCAAACAAACCTCGCCGAGAGGGGAACACGCTCCACCGGTACAAAAAAACAACAACTAACAAACAAACATTAATTTGATCCGGTGCTGATGTGTTACATGTCTTACGAGATCCGTTCAGCAGCACGTCTGCACCGTCACTGTGTTTACAGGACAAGGGCACGGACAAAGCCTAGAAGTGCTTGTGCGCCTCCCACCGGGCAGTAAACCGTGTCTTTAACATGGATACATCACCACTTATACTAGAGTGGAGCATTAAATAGCGGCTGGACTCTGTGACCTCGAAGATAGCAAAGCAATAGTGAAGAAAAAAAACACTTTAATTAAAAGGAACACCGTACGATTTCGTATAGTTTGCATAATAACTCCGGACTCCTACTGTAAATCCCTCTAGATATACAACAGGAAAAGCGTCCTTTTAACATATATTAGGGGTATTGCGATGAGAAGAAACCGAAGAAGAGACTATTAACTTCTGTTTAAAGTTACTTATTACGCATGACAAACGCATAAAATACATGTTTTTATGTCAAAAGAAAGCAAAACGGTGTAAAAGAAAAGCTATCATTAATTTCCTTTATTAAACCCTCCCAAGTGGGTATTACTGCAGCTGCCGGTTTGAGGGAAACTGCATTTTTTGTTTAAAAGAACACACGATGCCTCTTTACAAACTCACCTGGACGGATGGGGCATGTCAGTGTTGGGACATCATCTCTGGCTTCGAAAAAAGAAACACGATGAAATTAGCTCTGCGTAAATATGTCCAACAACTATTATTATTCCAAGTTCAAATAAGATCCACAGGTCGAAAGTGAGCTACACTTCTCAAAGTCGACATAGATCCCAGAGTTTTGGCTGAAGAGCAATGCTTGAATAATCCTCCTGGTCCGAGTGATCGTTGTCTGCATCTCCTTGCTTTCTCCCTGCCTTCTTCTCTTGCACTGCCTCCAGAGCCGGAGTGTGGCAGATTTTAACAGAAGAAACAACCCCGTCACAGAAAACGTCATCCCTGCTCAGAGTTTAATCCACTCCCACATACTTTTTTTCTGTCTCTGTCTCCCCCTCGTGCTCAGAATCGGAGGATGAAACTTTAATGGTCACACATGCAGAGCACAGCATACACAGTTCTGCATTTATCATATTCATAATACTAGGAGCAGTGGGCAGCTATTATACAGCGCCCGGGGAGCAATGGGGAGCGGGGGGGATGTCCGGTGCCTTGCTCATGGGCACCACTGTAGGGGGTGAACTGGGACGTAGCAGTCCACACTGTCTGTTCGGGGACTTGAACCGGCGACCCTACGGCTCCCAGTCCAAGCCCCTACTGACTGACCCACATGCCTCAGTGTGCAGGCGTCCCTCAATGTGAATCAAATATAAAACGAGTAATTTGTCTCTGTATAAATGTCAGGTTGTGGCAGATTTGTTGTCTGTTGATTAGAAATAAAATGACTGAAGAAATCATTGATAAATGTTTATGAAAACATTATAAAGACAGACGATTCTCAGGTGTGATCTACAACATTTATTTTTAAATGAATAATATAATAGCATGTAAGTGGCTAGTATTGTTTAAAGGCTTGGTGAATATGAATACCCCTAGATGTCATTTTGTTATTGGAAATATATATTCCACCTACAGGTTGGGAATAACTGCACATAAGTCATGGAGAAAGGATGGGCTTTTGGGAGAGTAGAATAGTAAGGGGACCCTGAGGAGCAAGAACACTGGAGCTCCGGTGTTCACTTTCCTCCACCTGGAGTGTCCAAACTCTCTTTGGCTTATCTGGATTCATGCCAAAGAGTAGAGTTGGCGTACATTCAGACGTGTCCTGCGCAGAGGGGAAGAAAGTAGAGTTGTTAAGGGACCATCTCCAGTTATTGTTTTCTCCTGATCCTAGGATAACTTCAAAAGAAAAAGTGTTGGGTAAAGATCTGGACTTGGGCGCCTGGAGGAATGTGAACATCCGAGCTACAAAACTCCAACAGCTGCAGGGCATGGGAGAAAAAGGAGTCACACACACACTAATACACATAGCACACACACACACAACTGAATCAATACAGACAGACAAAAGGGCGAGACAATCGATAGCATTTACATGTGATCAATACCGATCAATTCCTCAGAGTGTGGGAAAATGTGTGTGAACAGTTGTAAATATCTGCCTTGGTTAATGTCCACTTTCTATTGGTTTCTATTGCTGCACATTTGAGTATGTTTTACTTTAAGGGTTATCAGATATGTTTAGTGGGATGATGATACTGAAGACATTGCCAATAGTCGTGAATTTTTTTAAAGGGATAGTAAAAAAAGATGGATATTTGTATGACTGCTGTTCTTAGCGCTGGACTGTGAATGTGACATCTTAAGGAAACTAGATAAGTTAAAGGCTTTAACGAGTCATATAACAGCAGGATGGAGCCCACACTTCATTAATCAACTCCATCAAGGTTATTTCCCCCAATAAAATATCCATACGCATCGGCGTTTAACCGTTTGTAAGTTGAGGAAAATAGAAATCTCAGCAAGAGCCATGACATGATTATATTTATTTATTTATTCGTTTATTTGGCAGGGACATTGCACATTAATGAACACTTAAAACATAAAATGTACCAAGTGTAAATATGCCAGATTTAGCTTTGAGCTACTTTCCATCCTCACATAAAACATTGAGAAAATGAAAATTACAGCACAATTACATAAAAAGCAAGAAAAGTGCAAGAGTAAGAGTAGAATACCCAAGTATTTAGGACATGGTAATACAATATAGCAGCATCGATACATAAAGCGCAAGAGAAGATACCCCTGTATTAAAGTGCATTTAGTGGTGATCGATCGCACGTCTGTTTGTTTCTCAACCATTATTATTATACTCTCTTGTTCTAGTCTTTTTAGTTGACAAACCAGGGAACAATCTCACATTCGTACACCTGCAATAAAACCACTTTTCACAAAAAGGAGAGGATCATATTTAATTAAGGAAAGAGCTCATTTGGGACACATTTGATTTTGGCAAGGAGACTGTACAAACTTGATTGTTACAGTGTTTTTTATTCAGGTCCTTTACCTATGATGAGTGGAATTGGCATGCCTAAAGGATCAAGTGCCTGAGATGCATCGTGCCTTTAGGACACAGTATCACTCCCATCGTCTCCCACTTCTGCTGATTACTGAGAGGACGAGATAAGACAAACGGGGTTTTCTGCCTGGTTGGTTTCATACAAGTGCATTTACTGTAAATGCTTCCGGATTTATAAAGACGTTTATTGTTGCCTGTGTGTCTCCCATGCAAATTTGCATGCAAATCATTGTTGGAGCCTTGAACCGCTGGAACATGAAAACATGGCAGAGTTTAATGGCCTCATTCAGCAGCCCTGAGGGAATTCAGGGTAATTATAGACTACAGTAGACACTGTTAAACACTGTTTTAAAAAGAGCAGTTAATTCGGCTGAAGTGCAAACGCTACCATTTTGTGCAAGTGAGCAAATAAGCTGATGGCCATATATCAGCTGAGTCATGATGGCTTGATACATTCAGGCAACACGTGACCAATACTGCGTACTATGTTCATCAAATCTATCGAGTTTCTGTAGATGCAGTGGCAGTCCAACCCCCTTACATATTTCATCATTGAGAAAACAGTCACGGTAACAACCACATACGAGCTTATTTTACTGTTGTGATTATGTATAACAATTAGATAGAAATCCCTCCTCCCCTTGCGCTTCAGAAGAGTGTTCATTACCACATATTGACCCAGTTGTGGAAGTGAGTGAAGCGTTACAAATGGACGAGTAAGGCTGATCAACACAGTGTTTTCTGAGAGACAGTGTGTGAAACAACTTGTTTACAACACATTTCTTGGTATAAACACTTAAAAGTAATAGCTGCAGTTATTATAAAAGTGACCTAATATAAAATAAACAGTAAGAGATCAATAAATGAAACACTTATACACATTTAATATGCTGATAAATCTGATTCTTACAGGGTGTGTGTACGCATGTGTTTAACAGACATTGACAACTGGTCATTGAGTGCTAATGGTAAGCCAATCGGTTCTCACGCAGTGGACCATAAGCCCCCCCCCGCATTCAGACAATACTGACCACCTGGACCAGTGTGTGTGTGTGTGTGTCCATAATAATATTGACTGGTTGTAATGTGAGAAGTCAGGACACAATAGCGCTGTAACTCTGAAGACCTAACACCATGCTGAGAGAGATCACAGCTATGTGTCACAAAGAAACAAAAACACACACTCACACACACATGCTTTAACTTCAGTATCACTTGTCCATCTATACAAACGGGTAGTCATTTAAAGGCGGTTGATAATAAATAATATGTCTAATTTATGCCTGGTTAAGCCTTCAATGTATGCCCGTGAGGCAACTAGTATGTGCCCAAGTTAAACCAAGTTGTGGATGTGAGGCTCTGCAGTGGAAACACAAAGAAACTAGTTTGCAATTGGGCACCACCTCATAACCGGCCCATGACCTGCCTTGGAGAAAAATAAGTGTAAATAAGTGCTCATACTGCAACTTAAACGGAGTGTTTTCTCTTTGCATATGCCTCAATTTCATTAAGTCCTGATGTTAATCATCTGCATGGACATGGAGATATGGAAACACATTAGTCCCATTTAATGGCTTTAATTCTAAATGTGGGTGCTAATGAACTCTCAGTAACCACACCTGTATTGCTGTGTTTCTACCAATGTTTGCTGCCTTACATCATGTCAATATCCAAGCAGGTGTTCAGCATAGTTTGGAAATTGACAGATAATATCCAACGCTGCTTGACCGTGCTTTGTATACTGGTTTGCACCAACCCACTGTTCAGACACAAAACCGTCTCATTTCAATGCATGGCACAAAGTTCCTTTAAACGAATCTAAATCTAAACACACTACTAATCTCTGTGTGTTTGCATGTCTGTCTTTTTCTCTGTTTCATTCAACTTGTTCCCCGTTAATCCATGCGTCTCCTCTCTCGATCTTTATCTTACAACTCTGCCTGGAACTCCATCTATTTATTTCCATACATTAAACTGTGAAACACGATACGTTGTGCTGCCCGAAAAAGATTGCTGCATGTATGAGTGTGTGTGTGTGTGTGTGTGTGTGTGTGTGTGTGTGTGTGTGTGTGTGTGTGTGTGTGTGTGTGTGTGTGTGTGTGTGTGTGTGTGTGCTCTGCTTGTTGATCTGTTCCATCAGTGGTGTGGTAGTACAGTTGTTCTCACGTTGCTGTGATCCACCAGCAGTGACAGACACACTCCTGTGCACACAAGCATGGACACACACACACATACCTTGTGATATGACTAATTAAATACTGTGCTGTGGTGTTATCCTGTTTGAGTTCCTTTAACACACTTTGTGGTGACAAAGCCCAACAGAAACTTCTTTATATTAAAATCTGCACTTGAACACACCACACACACTTACAGATGACAGCCTCCTCAACCAGCTCCATACGATACAGAACTCAGAACTCCGCTGCTTGGATTATTACACGCATCAAATCCTCTGACCACATCACCCCATCCTCTTCCGACTGACTGGCTCCCTGTTCAACACCGGATCGAATACAAAAACCTCTTACTAACCTACAAAGCCCTCCATAACCTCGCCCCCTACCTATCTCACTGACAAATAATTCTGCAGAAAAACACCTTTAATAGTGGATAGTCCTGTCAGAAGAGAGCCAAGGCCAACCGAGGAGAATAAAACTCTCCATTGAACGAAAAACAAGGAAACACTGACAGATTGTGACAGTTATGTGTTATAATAATGATATGTGTGTGTGTGTGTGTGTGTGTGTGTGTGTGTGTGTGTGTGTGTGTGTGTGTGTGTGTGTGTGTGTGTGTGTGTGTGTGTGTGTGTGTGTGTGTGTGTGTGTGTGACATGTAGAAATGTCTGCAGTAGAACTTTAAAGGTTATCAGC